GTCTACTATTAATTAATGTATTTCCTTCTTGTGATGTTTTGTATTTTTATAGATTTAATTAAATTATGGTTTTCAACTTTAATTTGAGATTTAGTATTAAAATTTCAATTTAATATGATTTTGTCATTATATATATATATATATATATATATATATATATATATTTGTATTGTATTATGTCCGTAAAATTCTTCATCGTATCATGTATCGTATATATATATATATATTTTAATTTTATATTATATAATTATATATGGATTTTATTATATATAAATTATTATTTGTTTATTATATAGGTGTGGTGTGGGGTTGACAAAGCCATTATCCAAAAATTGAATAAATGCAAACGCCAATAGGTTGAGCCAACAAACTACCAAACGTTAATTTCTCACCACTAATACTTTGAATTCATTTCAATCTCAGATTTTGGAATGTCGCCCACCACATTCAATCAATCCAACAGCATTATCATATGGTTGCGGTCTTAAAATTTCAGTTTTTACGATTATTTATTTATTTTATTGACTGTATCTATCTTAAAATTTTATTTGTGTTCATTCCATACGAAGATATTGTGTCACTAATGAAAAATTTAACAGTAATGTTGACGTGTGTACTGTAAGGGTATGTCACGCCTACGATTATATTACTTTTCTAAAGGTGGATGGCCAAAATAAAACTAAAATATAATATTAAGTATGATTTTTTTTTTAAAAATAGTTGAATAACCAAAATAAAATAAAAATGATAATTAAAGTATTACATGGGTAGTTTACCTTAAAATTTAACCTAACTTAGAGATTAAAATCATAATTAAATATGTTTAATTAAATCTTAAATTCAGGCTTAATATTTTAAGGGTAAAGTACACAAATGGTTCCCGGACTATTAAAAACTACAAAATGATCTTCTGACTATAGGGTTTTTTGTTGAGTCATTCAACTATTAAAAGTTACAAAATAGTTATCAGACTATTCATATGTTTCAAACTCGTCATTTTCTGTTAAAAAATTGATGGTCGTTTGAGCTTAACGTAAACCTACTAACTCGGATATGATAAAGTTATATTTTAATGATGTTTACTGGCACCGTTGTTACTTATATATACTGACTTGACGAAATAATATTTCAAGCAATGGCTAGACGACATAATATAAACGGAGACTCGATCCAATAAATACACCTCAAATGATTTCAAGATATGATAAATTAATATCTCAATCAACAGGTTAACGTCCAACTCAAAAGGTCATCAGTTTTTTTAATAAAGAAATATGAGTTGAAACATATAAATATTTATATGATTATTTTATAACTTTTAATATTTAAGAGACTCAACAAAACAAAACCATATAATCAATAGATTATTTTATAATTTTTAATGATCGAATTATCGGTAAAATAAATAATTGAGATATTTTTTATATATTTTACACGTAATTTATTGAATGATTTGTTTAAAGAAGTACATTTCATTATGATTTCATAATTAATTTTGGGGATTATAGCTTCGCAATCTCGAAAGAGACAACTTGTGTCTCTTGCATGATGCAACCCCTGTCGGTGACCGACCACTGACTTAAAATGTTAAGACTTTATCTTCAAATAAAGCTACTTAAAATCCCAATAAAATAGAAATTCAAATACTTTATTATTTTTTATTTATTTATTAAAATGAAATTAATTTACATGTCTGCCTGATTTGGCATAGGAGGCTGTGCATATAAAACATGGGCTGTCAGCGCTCCACGTCATCAACCCACACTCTTAAGCAACAGGTACTTTCAAACTTTAATAGATAACAATAACTAATTTTATTAAATAAACAAGAGAAAATTAAAATTAAATTCTGATTTTTTTAAAAAAAATTAATTAATTGCATCATCTGATCATTTTCTCTAAATTATAAAAAATTTAAACATTAATTAAATAATAATAAAAAAATTATGTATTAAAAAGATTAAAAGATTTAATCAAACAAATAAGAAAAATAAGATACATAAACAAATATCGTTATCGAAAAGTATCATCAACGTTAACATAAAAATGAGTATAACAATGACAACTAATTCCATTATAATAATACTCTGAGTATGATTTATCTAAAATGATTATAAACATCTATTACCATGAATAAGCCAAGTCATAATTCAGAAAAATAAATTATTAAAATAACTAAATAAATATTAAATAGAGGGATGAAATCAAATAATCTTTAATAGGACATATTATAAAAGCAAAAAAATGTAAGTAAAAAATATTAATCATTATCTTTAAAAAATAAAATAAAAAAATAAAGAGATGAAAAATAGAAAATAAAAGGAAACACAAGACAAATTATAATAAAATATAGGTGCTATTGTTTGGTCAAAGATCAAGGATATCACCATCCTAGATAATCAATGAGAAAATTCTTAAAAATAATCTAGATAAATTAATTAAATTTATCTTTTAAATACCAATTATGGTCACATAGGTGATCGTTACAAAACAAATAACTATAATCATAATTAATTATAATAATTTATAAGATTAATGATTATAATTAATTACAAAACAAATCATTATGATCATAGTTAATTATTCTGCATGACATATAACTTTGGTTATAGTTAAATATTATATATATATATATGACATATAACTATGATTATAATTAATTGGTTTAATTAAAAATAAGTATTTTGTATAAAGTATTTTCTGCTTAATGTAGATGTTTAATCTCTTTAACGTTGTCATTTTAAGTGTTGAGTTAATCATAGCCGTTAAAAAAATGTCAGCCACTTTAAAAAATACGATACATGTCGCATTTATAAAATTTTATTTTAAAAACCCCTCAAATTTTCTCAATTTTTAAAAAAAAAATCAAAACTCAAAAAAGTTTTAATTTCAAATCTTTTTATCATCATCGATCATCGTAACTGTTGTCAAAATCGTCATTCTCTGTCGTCGATGACTTCATCGAATTAGATTCCATTGCACCCTCAACATACAGCGGGAGAAATCGTTGCAGAAACAAAAGACTTTGGTCGCACCCTGTACGCCTTGCAGGAGAAATCATCGCAAAAAGCATCAACGTTGGTCATAGAAGCAAAGGGTTTAGATTGTTGGAGTTTTTATCGGTCATGCGACGTTGGGGTTTTGGCTGGTTAGCTGTAGATGATAGTGAGGAAATTGAAATTAGGGTGTTTAAGATTTTTTTTTTAATTTTAGTATTTTTTTAGATTTTTTAAATTAATAATTTAATTTTTTTAAAAAATATAAAAGTGACATATGTCATTTTTTGAATAGTACTTAAAATGATATTAATTTTTTTAACAATCGTAACAAATCAAGTACTTAAAATGATAATGTCGAAAATATTAAATACCTACTTTTTTCCATTAAGTCTAATTAATTATAATACAAAATAAATAATTTGACCCCTTTCTTGATGAACCCATTTAGCATTCACTTATTAATTTTACTTTAAAATTGTTATTTAGAAAGACACTGTCATCAAATTTAAAATATTGATTACATTTTACCAACTTGATTGATTCAAGTGGTAAGTATTTTGATATCGTTTAAGTACGTATCAAGTGAGAGGCTTCGTGTATATAGAAAAATTTCGTTGGAAGATTATTACACACCAAAACCAGGTGTGAGACGTAAATAGATTCGAATTAATAGGGCGAAACCTGGAACTCGAGAGGAAAACAAAAAAAAATATTAATTACATTTTCGTTTGTATTTTTGGTTGGACAACACAATCTCAAAATGCAAAGATAAATGGACACATTCCATTAGTGTATTTTCCATTGGTATTATGAAAAGTTTTCAATGAATATGGTAATTTTTAAATTTACTATTCCATAATTAATCTCGATTTTTAGTGTTTAAATTAAATTAAATTAAATTAAATCCAACAATAAAAACTAAAACAAATAAAAAAGCAAAGAAAGAGAGGTTTTGATTCTTCCACTGTTTGTAATATATGCTAAAACAACAAAAAAAAGAACAAAAAAAAAAGTACCCATTGAAATCAGCAGAAAGAAAGGAACTTTTGAAAGCCCCATTTATTTCTTAGAAAAAATATTAAGTAAGGGTAAAATATATATTTAACCATCCTATTTTGGTCATTAAATTTTAAATATTTCAATTTGATCACTTAATTTTTGAACTACTCTATTTTCTATCACTTGGGTGTTACCGCCACCAATCACCCTCTTCGCCATCTATCATCCTCGTTTCTTATTTTGTCGTTTGTAATCCCAAAACAATCATTAATCCTATACTCTGTCCTGTTTCTGTCGTTTGTATCCAACATTTTCGAATCATTTTACTCAATAAACTAAGAAACAACCATTCATGTCAACAAGAGGAAAACAACAATAAAAGTTATCCTCAACTTTAGTAGATTTTTTGTGATCCGAATCTCCATTTGAAGATCTCAAAAGTAGAGAGATCCTTCTTGATGAAAGGAGGAACACATCCCCGTTCAAACTCCATCCAAAAGCGGGACATGAAGATTGAACAACAAAAAATTAAAACGTTCAATCCTAGATTCATGGAATTCGAGGTGTTTTATAAGTAAATGAACATCATATTCATATTTCGAAGGACGAAATAAGTGCGTAAGAGATTTTGGGTCTTATCAGTCATGATAATTGATAATGACTGAAATTTTAGTGGTTAAAAGAATAAAATAAAGTTGAGTAACGTATTTGTAGATTGTAGTTTACTCATTAATTAACAAATGAATGAATAATTTCATGTCGAATCTGATTTATTTGTTTATATATTCTTTTCTTATCTAGAGATAATGAACCTTTTTCAAAGCACAAGACTCTTACTTATAGCCGTTCAATCCCTACCAAAACCCAAAGATAAATACAAAAATTCCAAATCAAAACCCAGATTTTAGTTCACATTTCCCAAATTTCCAAATTAAAAAAGTACCAAGTTCTTGGATTTCTTTTATGATTTAGTTTCATCAACTTGGCTACCACTACTGTTGATTTATTCTCTCTTTCAAGGTTTCAATCTTGCTTCATTTGTCAACTTCTTGAAAGATTCTCTTTTAAACACCAAACAAAAGTATTCGTTTTGTCTGTAAATTTTGATTCTTTTCCTTTTTACAAAAAAAAAATCTCCCCAGTTGTTCTTCTCCTCACCTGTTTCTTTTCTGTTCTTGAACCTCCATTGCTGTCTCAGTATTTCCTTCAAAAACCCATCTCTTATTTTCAATAAAGTTTCAACCTTCTTTCCCTTTGATTTCCACAAACAAAATCAATCAATCTGTTATTTTCTCTGGGTTTTCTTGTAGTGAAATATACAAAAGGAAGTATAAAGTTTCACCTTTTTTCTTCTCTTTTTCAAAATAGATAATAACAGTTAAAATCCCATAGCCAAAATCCTTGCCTTTCCTTTGTTCTATTTCCAAGCAACCCCTTTAGCCTTAAGCTTCATCCCCTCTTATTTGTTCCTTTTTAAAGGTTTCAGTTTTTTTTCAAAAAAAGAGTAAAGAAAAAGTATGGGAAATTCTTGGTTTTTAGGAGTACTAATACCAATATTCCTGTGTCTTCTTTTCTTTGGTGGTTTTGTTAATGGTCTCGGTGTGAATTGGGGCACCATGGCATCACATAGACTGCCGCCCAAGACGGTGGTTCAGATGTTAAAGGACAATGGAATAAAGAAAGTTAAGCTGTTTGATGCAGATTCAACCACCATGAATGCTCTTGCTGGAAGTGATATTGAAGTCATGGTTGCTATTCCTAATGATCAACTCCTTGCTATGAATAGCTATGATAGGGCTAAAACATGGGTCAGGAGGAATGTCACAAGATATAATTTCAATGGAGGTGTTAACATTAAGTAAGTTCAAATTTTAACTTCTTTATTTTGAAAAAAGTATGGCTGCTAGCTTGTGTTGATGATGTTGGGTTTTGGATTTTGATAAATTGAATGCTTATTGTGGAAATTGTTGGAGCGGTATCAAGGAATTTTGGTTCAAAATCCAAAGTTTTGGCATTGAATGAAGTATTCGGTGTTAGATTCATTTATACTTGATTTTTCTTTTGCAAGAGAATAATTTTTCAATATGTTATGGTTGAATTTGATAACAGGGGCTATAGATTTTTGCTTGATGGTTCCTTTTGTTCAAGTTGTTCCTATTGCTCTGTAGAATTACATATTTGTTTGCTTATGTATGTATGTAACCATCTTGATATAGTTTTATATTGATTTACTGATCGACTAATTTAGTTCGTTTATTAGTACTACAGAGGCATATTATGAGATAACCCTCCTAACCGAATTGGTTCCCTTCACAATACCAATATTCGAACCTCTTACCTTTTATAATGTCTCATCTAAATAGACCAACGTATTATTGGTAAGGAGTTGCATATATTATTGAAAGTTTTATTGCTTCTTGAATCTTAATAAGATTAATTGCCTCTATTTTGGTTAAAATACTAACCACTATGTATTTGCTGTACCCAAATAAGGGTTATAGTGTCTTTTCCTTTTTCTCTCTTTGCATGATCATATGCATTCAATGATCTTGTTTGACTTTTCTTCCCTTAGCTGTGAAAATAAGCCAACTGCACATGATGTGAACTTTTCCTGGAAAAGTTTTCTCAGGAATCTAATCTTACCGCAGGGTGTTATGCCTTTGGTACTGATTCCTTTAATATTTTCCTTTTTGCAGCTTTGTTCTTGACATAAAAAAAATAGACATTATTTCAGGGACCATTTTTAGAATTTGACCAAAATATGATGAGGTTTTCTGGGAACTTATTTATGGATGAAATAGTTACCGATTGATTGGATTGTTACACCTTGTGTTGTTCATGTGATTAACGTTTAGAAGATTCCGAGCTGTCTTTGCTCGACGGTGATTGAAAGAACCTAATGACTTTAGTTTCTGTTAATGGTGAAGGAAGTTACATGTTCTTATTGATGCTGCAATTCAGCCACCTTTCTTCTTCTTTTGTGTGTGAATTTGTTGATTTGTACATACATATACATATATACATATATATATATATATATATTATGTATTTGAGAATACTTAATGTCATTGCACAGGTATGTAGCTGTCGGTAATGAGCCGTTTCTCACGACCTACAATGGTTCCTTCCTAAACATCACATTTCCTGCACTTCAAAACATTCAGAATGCACTAAACGAAGCCGGGGTAGGAGACTCGATAAAGGCTACCGTGCCATCGAATGCTGATGTCTACAACTCACCTGAAAATAACCCTGTTCCATCAGCAGGCCGGTTCCGACCTGATATCAGTGGTCTTATGACACAGATTGTTGAATTTCTGGCCAGGAATCGTGCACCTTTCACCATAAACATCTACCCTTTCCTCAGTCTGTATGGAAATGATGACTTCCCCTTCAACTATGCTTTCTTTGATGGAGGAAACCCGATTGTCGATAACGGGATTCAGTACACTAACGTTTTCGATGCCAACTTGGACACGTTGGTTTCGTCTTTGAGAGCTATAGGTCATGGGGACATGACCATAATTGTAGGGGAAGTCGGCTGGCCCACGGATGGGGACAAGAATGCTAATATAGCTAATGCTCAGAGATTTTACAACGGGCTCATGCCTAGACTTGCAGCCAACTCCGGCACGCCCCTGCGGCCGGGATATTTAGAAGTATACTTATTCGGCCTTCTAGACGAAGACATAAAGAGCATTGCTCCGGGAAACTTTGAGCGCCATTGGGGAATCTATAGGTACGACGGGCAGCCTAAATTCCCACTCGATCTTTCCGGCCAGAATCAAAACCGGTACCTCATAGCTGCTCAGAGCGTCGAATATCTCCCTCAGAAATGGTGTGTATTCAATCCAAATGCAAACGACATGAGCAAACTTGCAGACAACATAAACTACGCCTGCACCTTCTCGGATTGCACGGCGCTCGGGTATGGATCGTCTTGTAACAACCTCGATGCCAACGGAAACGCTTCATACGCGTTTAATATGTACTACCAGGTCCAAAACCAGGATTACGGAGCCTGTAATTTCCAAGGTCTAGCCACGTTTACAACACAGAATCCTTCACAGGGAGCATGCAGTTTTATAATTCAAATTGCTTCATCATCATCTTCCTCCGTTGGTCCCTCACTGATGAGGATGGCAGTTTTTGCTGTATTAACATTTGTATTACTATGAACTCGAATTCAGTATGTTACAGATTCTGGGTTATATTTTTTTTGTCGTTGATTTTAATAATAAACCCAAACTCGAGTAATTAGTTTGAGGCATAAGCACGAATTAAGCAACTTCAGTTACTAAAAAGATGATTGTTATTTATATAATTCTCGGGCAGTGGCGAAACTCAACATTATATGAAGGAACAAATTTAAAAATATATATTAATTAAAATATTTTAAAACTTTTATCAATGTCAATTATATATTGAAACATCGTAGGAAAAAGAGAATTTTATCTCTAAATTTATGACTAACAATTCTAAATTAGTCTTTAAACTTTTAAATATTTTAATTTCATCTCTAATCTATAATCTTCTTTCTAAATTGATACCTAAACTTTTTGAACATTCCAATTTCATCCCAAACTATACGTATATACTAATTACATCCCTTGTTATTAAAATCATTAGTCCAAGTTATATTATTATATGTTAAAAAAACAAAATTTTTGTTAAACTATGGTTGAAGCTAATTATATATCTGGATGAATTTGGAGATGAAATTGGAATATTCAATAGTTTGGGGACCAATTTAGAAAGGATTCATAATTTAGGGATGTAATTAGAATTTACAAAAGTTTAATGACTAATTTAAAATGAGTGTTATGATTTGTGGATGAAATTTGAATATTTTAAAAGTTTAAAAACTAATTTAAAATAAAGGTTATAGTTTAGGGACATATGATATAATTAATTCATTTAATATATATATATATATATATATATATATATATATATTATTTTTAAATATATTTGGGGGCAATGGGCCCCACCCTTGGACGCTCCGCCGTTGATCTCGAGTTCGAACATGTTATATTGTCTGCAGGAGAATAGCAATAATAATAATAAGGGTGAAGTGCACAAGATGCAGAGGCGTAGTTAGAGGGAGCACAACATGAGCGACGGGATAGGGTCTCGGAATAGCAAGGGCTTCAAAAAAATTAGATTTATTACGATAAAAATCTTATTTTTTTGGGTCTAACTCCAATCTCTCTATATACTGTATTCAAATTTTACAATTTTTACTAAGGAAATTTACAAGGGTCCCGAAATAGCAAGGGCCTCTTTTTAAGAATTTGCACAGTGCTTCCAATGTCCTAGCCTCAGCCATGACTAGATGTCATCAAACTATGTAAAAATAAAATTTTTGGACAGTTGCATTTAAAATGTAGCAAAATGGTCATAAATTTTCGAAATCATTACAAAATGACCATTAAAATATTATAAAATGGTCCTTAAACTTATAAAAAATTACTATCATTTTAATGTTGTAGTAGACCATATTGCAACCGTTTGAGAAGTTTAGTAATCACTTTATAGCATTCCAAAAATCATTTTATAAAAAGATCATTTCTAATGATCATTTTTGCATAATTCTCGAGGATTTATTCTATGTACTTTAATTTGATGTCTTTAATCTTTATACCTTTTAAATTTTAATTTTTAATATAAACAGAGTGAAATTTGTTCTGTAAACATTAATCGTAGTCTGTTTTTTCAATTTGATAATTTTAAGTTATATAATTTAATTAGATTATCCTTTTTATCTGAATAAAAAATTAAAATTTTAAGTTTTAAAAATATATATACTATTTATTTGAATTAATCACTGGTATCCGATCTATTGACCGACTAATCTAGATTAGGTATTACAGAGGCGAGGGCGACCCTCCCAATCTAGTTTGCTCTATTCTCAAACACCAAGATTCGAACCTCTGACATTGTTTAAGGAACCTAATGTCTTATCCTACTAGATCAAATGAAAATTCAAAATTTAAAAATATATATACTAAATTTTATCAAATTAAAATATAAATTAAATCTACAATCTCTATCTATTAAAAATATTAAATATAGAACTCTACCTCGATAATAATGATGATCATGATAAGACTTTAATTTGTTTGTTCAATTGATTTTTACATTAAAATCTCTACATAAAACACCAAAAATTCACTTGTGCCTAGTGATTAAGGAATTTGTTGTTATAATTTAAGGTCCCGAGTTTAAGTACCACATATACAAAGATATAAATATTTATTATCAAATATTTAATAGTCTTTAAAAGATAATGATATCACATTATATTCACCTTAAATTTATTAAAAACCCGTCAAAAACTCAAAAAATGATCCCGTTTAAGAATGAAATTATTTATTAATATAATAGATACGTTATCTTAGTGATTAAGAGATTTGTTTGAAATACGTCTCGAATTCATATTCATTTATATGGTAATTTGATTGAAAATGAAATATTGAAAATTTTGTGGGTACACAAACATTAACAATAAGTGCTTAGCGGTCCATCCACAATCATGCACCTTCAAAATCCCCCCACCAACACAACAAAGCCACTTGTGTTTTCTCTCACTTGGGTGTGAAATCTCATGATAACAAATAATTCACTTTTCTTAATACTACAATAGTATTTGTTTAACTTTTTATTAGTATATAATATTTACACACGTCATGATATAATTATTTAAATTTAAGTCATATAAAGATAATATTTTCTTTTACAACTTAATTAATTCGATAAATTCACAAATAATACATTTTTAGGTACTCACTGTTTACTTTTTTTTTGTATAACCACCGATATCTGATCTATTAATCAACTAATATGAATTATTTAATACAGAGATAAGGGCGATACTCCAAACTCAATTTACTCTATTTGCAAACGTCAGAATTCGAAACTCTGACCTTATTTAAAAAAATCTAATGTTTTATTTCATTAAATTAACCGGTTATCGGTCTACAACGGTTTTTTTAATTATTCTTTTATTTCCCTTTAAAATTTCCATCCTCAACCATGCACTTCTTTCATGGATTATTTGTGGGAACTGAGATCACTCATAACATACCGATAATTAGTTGGTTTGATAAAAAAATAATAGATCTTTTAATTAAGATTAAAGATTTAATTATTATTGAATTTATTAAGCGGCTTTTATGGTTAAAAGAGTATTATTCTTTCTAGAGGTCATAAATTCAAATAGTTGCATTTACAGGATGTGTGTGCGTTGTCAATGTTAAAGAAAATTCTAAACATATAATACTTTGTCACATCCTTAATTATTAAAAAAATGCAATTATCGATATTATAAATAAAGAAATTCGAATTAATAAAATTATCTTATAATAATTTTATATAACATTCGTTTTAGATTAATTGATAATAAATTAGATATAGATGATAATATTTTGAGAAAATAACCTCAGTGACCAAAAATCTCATATAATATACGATATTAACCAACTTTTTCCGGATTTGCCAAAATGACCAACAAAATCGTAATGCGATCGCTAATTCGCAACGCGATCTCCATTATCGCAAATTCGCGTTGCATTTTCGCAATGCGATAGTTGAAAATCGCGTTGCGATGGTCTACAGTGTCGTTGCGATTTTCCCAATTCGCAATGCGAATAAGTAAATCGCAACGCGAATTGGGAAAATCGCAATGCGAATAAGTAAATCGCAACGTGAATTGGGAAAATCACAATGCGATACTGACTATCGCAATGCGATAATACAAAATCGCAACGAGATACTTACTTTCGCAACGCGATACTGACTTTCGCAATGCGATTCTGACTTTCGCAACGCGATAATACATAATCGCAATGCGATTTTCAAAGCGCCATTAGTATCCTGGCCAAGTATTTTATTTTTAAATTCCAAACACGAATATTAATATATTGGAACACTGAACCGTCCACAGTATATCCCGTAATCGCAACTCATAACCTAAAACCTAAAATCACAACTCAATCCCATCTCCATCTCTCACTCTCTCACCCATCTCCGACGAAATCCGTCCCCATCTCCGGCAAAATCCGTCTATCTCCATCTCTCAGAGCCACCCTCACAATCAGAAATGGAAAATCAACCAAATCAACCAACGAGTGTTAGTTTTTTTAATTATTTTCTTTTTGAAATTTTTGCATTATTATTAGGTTTTTCATATTGAAATTGATGATAAGTTTACTGGTAATTTCAATAATAGATTAACCATTTCACTTAGATTGCTTATTAAATCAACCGAGAATCGCAACGCGAAATGAAAATCGCAACGCGATTTTAGTTTCGCGTTACGATTCTCTCGTTGCGATAGTCATTTTCGTGTTGCGATTTTCATTTTCAGAAACTATTCTTCTTCTGCAAATTGAAACTTGAATGAATTGCATTACTTCAACCAAAAAACAAAGACAAATAAGAAATTCACAGTGTTGCAAATTTAAGTTTGAAGAATAAACTACTACTCTTTATGTTTATTATTGTTTTTGGTATATCTTCACAATGTAGTTTTTGGTATATCTAACTTAGTATGTTTATTGTTTTTGTAGAACTTTTATTCGGCTCAATTAACCTTAAGAAATAAAGTCAGCCTGGCCAAAACAATTGCGTCGAAGCTTTCACCTGCACAAAGAAAAATGTTTGAGGATACTTGCTTCGGGCCATGGCTGAAAGTACAACATCCCGATGGAGATGCGATGTTGACACACCTATTTCTTCAAACCATGACTAGGGATCTACCAGATATTATACAACGTCGTGATGAAGAGATATGATTTGATTTTCCACCGGCGTATACGTGTTTTGGGCGGGAGGAGTTTTGCTTAATCACCGGTCTACGCTTCGGACACGATGATGTAGGTCGGTACACTAGACACATTACCCGCCCATCATGGTTATCCCGGGTTTTTCCTGAGCTGGAGAGGCCGAATCTACACGTGGAAGACCTGACGATATTATTGAATAAGAAATATGGTTTTACTCGGATGGATGACGTCGACGTTGTCCGAGTATGCCTTCTAATTCTTTTGCATGCCGACTTTTTAGGCAGAGAGGCCAGACAACCTATTCCAAATGATCTAATCAAATTGGTAGAAGACCTAAATGCGTGGAACCTATTTCCGTGGGGCTCGTATTTATGGAAAGCTACATGGAATAAGTTATCGTCTGCCTTGTATGATCAAAAAAGTTTGCATGGCGATGGTTCCAAATACAC